GCTTTAGGGGACCCCTGTGAAAGGGTCATTTGATCCCCAAAGGGGTCGCAACCCACCTGTTGAGAGACACAGACCTAAGTAGACATGCTCAGCTTTTACTCTTATTTTTAGCTTGTAGAAAATGTAATTTGCCTTGCATTAGATTTAGTTGTATCCATTTTATCTTAATTTGTAAAATTATATCTGAAATCATAATATTACCTTTTAAAATTTATTTAGCATTATGAAGCACTAAACCTCAACAAAATTTGTAGTACTACCGAGCACATTCATATGAAAGATTTGTAATGAAAAAGCATGAAAGAATGAAAGGGCTGGAGAAATCTTAAGTGCATAATGTTAAGTAAAAGAAACTTGAAAAATGCTAAAACAAACAAGTCAATATTAATCAGAATAAATTCAATGGGAATTGTTTGGACTTTAAGAAAATATATAGAAAGGTGAGAATCACTAAGCCATTTATCCCCCTGCCCTTCAATTAACTATACATGTGGTTATCGACCAGGTTGGCACAATAAACTAACTAACTCAAAAGGTAAACTTATAAACCCGAAGAACTAAGATAAGAAAACGTTGAGAGCCAAACTTGATGCAAAATAATCTTTCCCCAAGGTAGGTGCTAGATTATGAAGTTTCTTAAGGTCAGAGGTTAACTGGGAACATGCAAACCATATATACTGGATGCTCCTATGAGTCAGAATGAAGGATTTGCCAATCCAAGTTAACTTAGACTCTCAAGGGGAAAACCCTGGAAGCGACAAGCCAGTGGTACACCTCACCATTAACATATGAACAACAGTTAGCATACCACCTTAATATTTTAAATGTACTCCTTATATGATTTCTCTCTCCCCGTTTCAGTTGTTGTGTCTCCATCAATGTCCATGTCCAAATTATATTCTGTAAGTTTACTTCAGACTTATTTCTTCATTTTCTTTTATTTCCAGTTAGAATATTCCCTTGTGTAATACTTGCAAAGCTGCCTGGCACTGGAAAACTCCCAGACTTTCTGTTTATTTGAGAGTAACTTGATTTTCCCTTCGTTTGTTGAATTATAACCTTCCTGAGTAAAGACCTCTTCTTTGGCGTTTGTTTTGTTTCCATATTTAATCTGTGTTGCTTCATTGCCTAGAGTCTTTGGGAAAAATCCACACTTGTTCTTATGGAAGTCCCTTGGTAAGTTATAATGTATTTTTCTACTATTGCTTTTAGAATTATCCCCTTGTCTTTGGTTTTCAATAATTTTATAAGAATATGAGGACACCATAGAGCTGATCTTTTGGTCTCTTCTGATTGGGGGTTATTTTGCTTCCTATATTGGCTGGCTTAATTTTCTATTTAGGTCTTAGAACTTCTTGATTATAGCCCGGACAGTGTTTTTTGTAGCTTTATTTTGTCTTGGTGCATTGGGTTCCAGTAATCCTCCCTGGTCATTTCTTAATTGAATCCAGCTTTCCTTTTGAATTTGTTCACTAATTCAACCCTATTCTTGCAGTTTCTTTCTTGCTTTGTCTAAACCAGATGATTTATTATTCTGTTCCAATGTTTTTCTTTTTGACTTACTTTATTTTTCAAATTTCTTTGTTAAGTTTCTCATGTTGTGCCTGTATTTTCTTCTTCAACTTTGCAAGTTTACTTTTTGGCATTTTAAAAACATATTCAGCACCATAGTATGAAAATTGTCTATCTTTTTTTGCATTAATTTTGTTTCCATAGGAAAAATTCTTTCTACATATTCTGTTTTTATCTGTTCTCCTGTTATGTTGTGTGTTTTATTGATTTTTGTTGAGTCTGGAATATTTTGTTCTTACTATTTTAAAATATTTTTCCAAGTATTATATTCTGTATATTGTTAAAGAATATTCCAATTAGGCACCCTCATGGCACAGAGGTCAAGTACCAGGCTATCAATCAAAAGGCCATGACTTGTACCAACCATCTAGAGAAAGATGGCACAAACTATCGCCACAAAGACTGACAGTCAATGGCAAAGATGCCCCTAGTGATGTAAGGGCACTCGGAGACAAAGGACTCAGTGGCAGTAAACTTGATACCGTCTCCTGAAAATCACTAGATGTCACTCATATCCTTAATGTTGTTTGGTTGTTTACTTGTTTCAAGATATTTTAGGATTTCTGCATACTTGGCCACTGGAATTCATTACACATACACAGAAGATAGAGTTTGATTTTCACAGGCACTGTCCTAAACAGTGGGGCTATCCATTCCCATAGTAATACTGTAGGGAATTCTATGTCTTTCCTTCATTAACGTCCCTAAACATATACTGCTATATAACCTCCTATGGGACATATCCTTTGTTTCTGTCAATCTGAAGTATTTTGTTGTCTTACTTCCATTGTCTATGCAAAGAAATGTGAAAACTGCCACCTAGAAAATTTATTGAAGGAGACCCATTTGTGCCAAAGTAGATGTAACAGACTATGGAAATTATCAAAGTTTATCAATAGTGTTATACGCAAGTAAAGTTCGGGTGAAGATTAAAATAAATAAATAAAACAGTCACCAAATTACATCAACAAGAACTGCCAGAAATGTAATTCAGATTTAGAAGAGGACAATGAATAGAGATATTGCTGGTATCAGATGGCTCATGGGTGTAAGGACCGAATACCAGAAATATGTTTACCAGTGTTCATTGACTATTGCTAAAATATTTAACTATATAAATCATAACAAACTTTGAATAGCATGTTGGGTAGGGGGTATTCTATGACAATTATGCAAAGGCAGGCCTTGTATACAAGCCATAAGACAGTTTTTGAACACAATAAAGGAATATTGTGTCAGAAAAAATCCAGAAAGCTTTGTGACAGTGTTGTGTATTCATTTACCATACATATTTCATTTATATGCTGAATATATACACGCATAGAAGATAAGATATTGACTCCATTATAATATGCAATAGACACAGTGCATTAAATTGTATTTTTTGTTATAATTATTGCATACATGATGCTATTGATTTGTACTCTCTGCCGTCCGGGAGGCCTTGAAGAGGAAAGCTGTAAGGGATATTTTAGTAAACATTCATGCTTCTATTTTTCAATCAACTAGGTTCAGAACACACGAAAATGAACTCACCGGCTCAAGTCTGTGCCAGGGACATACTTAGAAAACCGTGAATGAAGTAAAGGAATGAGTCTGAGGTCACACCATCTCTTTTCCCATCTCAAGCCTGCAGATGTGGGCCACGATGAACATGATAACGTGTCCTACAATGAATAAAAATACTCACAATCACTGTTTTCTTCTGTGTTTTGGGGATTCTGTGTCTTTTTAAAGGATTGACTAAAATACTGTAATCATTAATGACAAAATTGTATTTGTTAATCTCTTGACTGGTAGAATTCTCAAAGTAGGTGAGGAAGAAACCATTATTGTGAAAAATGGAGGTAAAAGCAATATGGGGTTGGGAGGAAAAGGAGAAAATAAACTGTATAGAAGAATTGTATTAATTCAAGAATGGAAAATAAGGCAAACTGCAAAATCAAATAACTAAAAGTAAGTAAAAAAATGTATGTAAGCTTCTGTTAATTCAATTAAGCAATAATATTTTAGTACCTTCTAAGTGCAAACATTCTTATAAGTGCTTGTGACTTATCAGTCATTTGTAAGTATTTTAAAAAAGAATAAAATATAAAAACAATTTTCATAAAACTACTATTATGCTGCATTAAATTCTTTCATGTAAAATATTTATTTTTATGTTTATTTTCATGGTTAGCACATGAATATTTATCTGAAATATGCTAACCACTTTGGTTTAGTATTTAAAATTGGCATAAGTTAAAAGATTGTAATTCATATATATATAGCCTTTGAAAGGAATGATTTACAGTTTCTATTTCTGTTACTTATTTACTGAACTTTTACTGAACTCTAGCATGACTGGTGACTTATATTTTGACTGATGCATAATATTATTGAAAATTATTTTATATTGTAAATTACTTCTCTACTTTTCTAGAATATTAATTTATGACAACTAATATTGAATTCTCCATGGGCATGTAAGCTAAATCACTTCTGAGATTATTGTTCAAATTGCAAACTTAATTTTAGCTTCTAATCTATTACATAATTTGATGTAATTCAATCTAAAATTATAGGTCTTTGGAAAGCCAGGGATATATTCTGCCCAAAGAAAATAATATCCTCTTCGTAAAACATCCTCTACAAACCAAACAATAGCACCAAACAATAGTAAAACATCCTCTACAAACAAAACAACAAATCCAGGCTGCAGGATTTGAGACAGATCTTTCTCTGTAATCATTTTGAAATATTTTAATTTTCCTCATGTATTCAAGGTGCATGTATTTTAGTAAAATAAGCCTTGACTCATACTTCTCTCATTGTTTTGGCATAAATCCAGCACTCATAATCAGAGGAAAAATCAGTGGAAAGAATAATTCAGATCTCTGTTATTTCATATTTTCTATGCATCTTTTGACAAAGAATTTAGTCTTTCCAAAAGGAAAGAATAGCTACTGACACTGTTTTGTTTCCTGAGTAAATGAGATAAAGATGTAAAAGAACATAAAAGACCTAGGTCACAAGATGAGGGCAGCTCAAAATGTACAGTAACTGAAAATACTAATGAAGAATATCAGTGTGATACATTCTTCAAATTATATATTACTCATGTCGTTGATTTTTAAATATGAGAAAACATATGGTTTCTGATAGGTCTTTGATGTAGCATCTTGAATGGCTAAATTTATCTTCCAAGTTGTAAACATGTCACATCCTTTGTGTTTTTTCCTTATATAAAATCTGTTACTTTAAGCTATTCTCCTACTGAAGGTCAATGTATTTCTTTGAAAAGACCTGTTATGTAAAAGAGAATATGAAATGTCTTTTGAAGATGTTTTTTCTCTTTATTGTAATTATAGACATTGACTATGAATTTTCATTCATCTTTTAATACTCTAACAGTAGTCTTGCAGCTATTTTGAATTGTATATAAAACTTATATGTGTGCATAATAAATTTTATGATTTTAGAATTATAGCTGTTTTCAGAGCTTTATTCCTAAAAATTGTCTTCTGTAATAATAATATGAATATAAAGATTCATATTTACATACACTTTCATTTTAATTTTCCCTACTTTTCACAAAATTTAACAGATGTCAGGTTCAATTGCCACACAAGGACTGAAGAACAATGATCTTATCAGCAAAAAATTGCACTGCGGTCAAACTGTTCACCTAAATATTGTTAGGCATTTAGCAAAGGAAAACTTCACTGCGGGGGCATTATCACGAAAAATGTTTTTTTAAGTTTGATTTGTTGATTATTTAGTTGAAATCACCTGCGGAGCACAATGCAAATCACTTTCTTCATCTCTAGAAGCGATTCAGGGGCGTGAGGCTCAGTGTTCTCTGAGCTAACCAGCAAACCCTGTGATGGCTGTGTGCTCTAAAATATGTAAATGCTAGTCCTTAAAGGAGCAGCAACGGTGCTGCAATGGCACAATTATTGCCTTCGTGCTTGTATATTTTCAGATTTCATGTCGGTGCAACACTATCTTTCTCTTTGTGGAGACCTCCATGTTGCTTTGATGCTGAAAGGTCCTGGTTGCTCTGCGAAAGTTGGGTGGTTCAAACCCACCTGCTGCTGCTGAAGGAAGGGAGGACGTGAACTGCTCCAGTAAATAGGGTGGCTGTGAATTGGGATCAGCTGGATGTCTGTGGGTTTCATTTTAGTTTCCAGACTAAGACAGACTAGGAAGAAAGGATTGGATATCTACCTCTAAAATCAGCCAGTAATAATCCTATTATTAATCATAAAGTTCTGATTCACAAAACATCATGGACCTGCTTCAGATCTGTGATGCATTTTCTCTTATGGTGCATGATGCCACCATGAATTAGGAGTGTCATGAGTCAGGGATTACTCCAGGGCATCTTCTAATAAGAGCTCTTAGAAGAATTAGGTCATGTTTTTATATAAGATGGTGGAGGAAGGTTTATATTGTCTAAGGCTTTATCATCCTTTATATTGAAGATGTATCTTATATATATTAAGGGTTTTAGAATATTTTCATAATTGGTTTCAGAGGCACAAGGGTTAAAAATGGAGTTACCGATGTCCAAGAGAGAGTGGGGAAGGTAGACAAAGAGCAACGGACCATTTTGTTAAGGAGTAAGCAGTCTCAGTGCTAGGCAAGTTTATTATGACTAATGTGCGTGTCAGGTCATATCCATCTTTCCCAGTGATGACTCTTCATTGGTAATGGGTCAGATGAAAGATTGGCTTTAACTTTCCTAATTTTAAAAGTACGTTTCTATAAGGAGAGATGCCCTTTGGTTTCATAGGTAAGATTTAACACCTTATCATGTGATCTTCCTTTTAACTCATTTGAAATTTGTTCTGGGATTTAATGTTTTCTGCTTTCTACTTGATTAAGGTTTTTCTCTGTTTTACTTTCTTATTATTGTTTGGTTTGTTTGTTTGTGGGTTGTTGGGAATTTTTTTATATGAAATTCAGGATAAGTATATCTATAGATATACTTAGATAGCAACTGGATTGATAAATGATTTCTTGGGATTGTGGCAGAGGAGGTTGGAGGGGAATGGGTAGCTAATAACAATGAGTACAAGAAAGAAGTAAATGTTCTAAAGTTGATTGCAGGGATGATTGTACTACACTTTTAATACTATTGTACTATTGAATTGTATGCTATGTATATCCTCAAGTATAAGCCAACCCTAATAACGGCCGAGGCACCTAATTTCACCACAACAACTGCATAAAAACTTTGCTGAAAAACTTGGTTTATACACAAGTATATATATATTAGGTGCCAAAAATCCCCCCAAAACTGTTAAATAATAATAATAATTGGAGACAGAGTGAAAAAGAGATTACAGAGCTACATGTGTGCTCTGCTACATCTGAGCACTAACTGTAGGAACTTATGGCCAGTGTTAACCAGTTACCTTCTTTCTCATCTCTTGAGTTGACTTGAATTCAAGATGAGGAGTACTGGAGGGTAAGACTGAGCACTAAGTTCCCACAATTAGATCACAGATGTAACAGAGCACATGCATGGTGCCATAGTCTCTTACTTTCTGTTGCATTCAATGAAATCTGACTTTCAAATTTTGGCTGCCTATATTTTCTACTATTTAAACACTGATTTTCCTTTCTCTTCTTCTGCTTTATATTAGAATTAACTTCATGTATTTGTCTATAGACCTGAATTTTAAACACCTTACCTAAGAAATTACATTTGCTTTTCCCTCCTATATGCAGAATAATACATTTCATAAATGTCATAGTGAATATGTATCCTGGAAAATATATGAGATAAAAAAATAAAATTATACTTATAGTCAGTGTTCCTACTATTCACTTTAAAAATTTTGAGCACAGGGATAGTTATTTGAGGTACATAAAATCAGGAAAAAATTGTGTTTTGAATATAAATATTTTGATTATTTTACACCAGGCAAGAGCATTAAAACACACTTATTAAAAATAGTTTATCCAAAATATATGCAAAATAAAAATTAACATTTAATTAAAGGTTTATAAATCAAGCATATCATTATAATAATTGCTAACTATATAAATAGTTAAATTATCCTTTACATTTTAATATAATTTTTGTTATGTGCTAAGAATACCAAGAAATATACACTTTGGCAAGTTAAAATATTAAATTTAGATAAACAGTTCCAAAGAAGGCAGAATGATTAAATTATGCAAAATAATTTAGCACATAATATTATAAATAATATCAAATGTGTTATAAGAGGATTATATCATGTCATGAGTGGCTCCTTAAAGTTAAAAGCATGTATATCAGAAAAGGGCTTCAAACAGACCAAGAGGAGAGCAAGACCATAAGAAGCAAATGACCTATGTAGGCTTTTTTCCCTCTTGCTTGTCATGCCACTTCACTGATGGAGCAACCAAGACTTTCAAGTCTCAGATAAACCAGGTCTTATAGTACTTTTTGCCCATAGAAATATCTGTGTATCACTCATGGATCTTCTTTACACAGTCTCCCTTTTAATGCAGACTACACCTCCGTCATCTTACTGTGTTGTTGGGATGGTAGTTGAGATGCAGGCCACTGTCACAAAGAGGAGAGGAGGTGCCGCTGCTCTGGTCGCTGGGGGCGCCTACGGGACCAACAGAGCAACGTTCCAGCAGTGAGTTCCAAACTTACCAACTGACATGGACACACTTCTTTTCACATGTCTTTTAAAATGCATGCAGTGACTTCAAATTAGTCAGATACATAAAATTAAAATTGTGTTTCATTTATATCAAGTTTGACACTTGAAAGTTAGCTGTTAACTAAAGTTATTGATTCACTGCAAGAAGCATTCAATTATTTGGTTTTAATTTTTCACTGCAGACACATTTAGGCTTTCCCAAGGAAAACATACACCCTTATCAAAAGTACCAAGATGCTTCCATAAACCAAGTCATAATGCTTCTGAAATGCAAAATAACCAAATTAGTTGATTCATCAATTGGGATTTAGAGTGGACCTCTGTGTTACAGAAGAGAATGAAGCCCCATGGGTTTTCTTAACTGCTATCTTTACAAAAGATCACCAGAATTTTCTTCCACAGAATTATGAGACAGGGGCCAACACTTAACTTTTATGCTAGCAG